CCCTGAATGAAACAATGGTAGGTATTGTGGAGAGCTCTGAATTACAAGTTTAAGCTTAATTGTTACTCTAGGTAATGAGAAACCATGGGAAAACTGAAGAGGGGGAATTACATGTTTCAAACTGAAAATTTAGGAAAATTACTCTGGCAGGACTACAAAGGTGATCTAGCGGGCAAGCAGTAAAAAAGGACTATTGGGACGTCCCATCAACATCTGAACCTAAAGTAATAGAAGCGAAATTTCAACTGGAAAGAGACCACAGATGACACTCCCATGTGGCATCAAGGAGATGTGGCATCTGGTTGTATGTCGTGACTCAGAGAAAGGAAAGATCCAGTGTTGTCTCTGAGATCAGATACTGAATCATGTTTAAACGAGAAGTGATGCTGATAGAAGCATCTACTTATATATGTTCGTCTGTGGCAGAGTGGCTCATTTGGGAAAAAGAGCATGTTCTTTCTTGATTTCATTCATTGGTCTGAGATGCACTACAGAACAAGCAGGTACCATGCAGGACAAGTTTCTTAGAAATTTGGGCATGCACATATGGAGATTGGAAGTGAGAAGAAAGTTTAAAATAGCTACTTTAGAGAAGTCTTTGGAGATGTGGGGATAAACTGTAGGGCTCAGGACTAAATAATGGTCCTAAGGGAAAGAGGACAGGAGGGGGAAAAAGAGCATTGGGAGAGTGTGGCAGAGGTGAGGACTGGGAGAGCAGGATGAGAAGGGGAGTCAGGGAAAGACCGGGTGAGAAAGGGGCGAGGCACACTGTGGGGGTCCTTGCCCCCCAGCACATGTAACAGAGGTATTAGAAGCACATGAAGTTTATTTAAGGCTGGAAATTGGCGAGTATCCACAGGATCCAGCAGAAGTAACGCCTGCTTGAGTGTGGTTGGTAGGGTAGGGATATGTCTGTAATAACTTATAGTTTTAATTTGAACATTTTTGCCTAAAATGTCCCATGGTATGTTTGAGTGTGAAATTGCTATGTTACAGAATCACAGGCCTATCATTTTGTAATCAAAGATTTTGTAATAAAAAAGGGCCATATTTGTGCCAGGCCCTACCTATACAATGGAAGGCCCAGAAGTGGAGTGTCCTCTAGGTCATATTACTTGTGCTTTTGGTATCTCCTGCAAATTAAGGTGATGTTTGTAAAGACTGACAGTGAAGAGCTAGTCTGGCATGGACAAGGAGGTCCCAGGGCCCAGGTGAGGAAGTACAGCAACCTGGAACCTCCGCGCAGGGACTGCCTATGTGGGACACCCTCGCAGTCTCCCCTCTGGTTCCCAGGGCCGCATGCCTACACAGCCAGGCACGTCATTTGCCTGTCTAATAACTCTAAAACCCCTTTACTCAAGCAGTTGCTCTGCAGTTTTGTCCTTTGACTGTATCAAATACAAAACCTGGCAAAGTAGTGTGCTCAAAGCAAAGAAGTGCTGTTCCAAAGAGGTGACATCAAATATAAAATACTCCCCAAATAATGATGTCCCTTCTTTGTGGCAAGTCAAGTCAGTGTCTGCTGTTTGGACCTATCAGTATCAGTAGGTCAGAGGGTGGGGTCTACCATGAGCCAGACATGTTTGCATACAAGGAGAGGTAAAGGGGAGTTTACAGCCGTCCACGTGGAAAATCATACAGTAATTAATAAACAATTATGCAAGAATAAACTCTGTGTTCCCACAGTCACAGCTGGAAACCTACTTTTGCCCCACCCTGTATTCATGGAGACAGGGGTATGTTATAAGGAAAGAATGAATACAGAATTTAAAGAAATGATTGTAACAGTTATGTCATTATACAATGCTTTTCATGATTTGATACCTTTAAGAATTTAATGATTGAATAAACGCTTCTAAAGGACAAGAATAAAATTTGGGAACATTTTTTTTTACTTCACAAGATTTTCTTAAAGGAAAAAAGGGTGATTAACTAGTTAAGACAAATTTCAAAGCAAACATTCGAAAAAAGTTTTAACATTTCTACTTCGCCCAGATAGTCAGCGAAGGCACTGTCCTAAGCAGTTAGCAACAGAATATCGGAGAAGGCACTTCACCCTGGAGGCTCCTGGGTGGGGGTGGACTGGGGCCTCGTTCAGGGTAACACTAAGCACTGATCTGTGAGAAGTAAACATACAGGAGAACAGTTCATCTCCAAATATGTTTCCACTCATAATAGTCTCTGATTCCACTGGCCTCCTACTCGGGCCTTTTCCAATCCCATTAAAGTAGGTGTTTGAAAGCATATGTCCTTAAGAGATCAAATACCTCTGCCTGTTTCATTACAATTTAACTTTGAAATTGAGTTTTGAACATGAACCACAGAAGAATCATTATGTATGTTTTGAGTTAAAAATAGTTTATTTGGGGAAGTCCACAGTTCTGAGTCCATAAATTAGTAACATGTATTAATTATGAAAATGAAATGTTTATATAATTCCTATTTCTGTGATTTTGGATATGGCTTATACCTTCTCATTTTTAAGGCAACAATATTTAGAGTTTTCTTATCATGTGGGACCCATCACAGAAACATGTGTGTGAAGTTTTGTTATTTGGACTTACCCTTGTGAACACTAGAATATTCTAAATAGAAGCATCTCTAAAGTTTTTTTTATAAATAACATTCTCCAAAAGAGTCAAGGTTAATTGAGTTTAATATTTGAAGATTAAAACAACAACAGCAACAAAACAGTTTCAACACTGGCCTCTGTGAAGTTTGCATTTCTCAAGTACAAATGGAACACAAAAGTAACTCCTCTGTACATAAAAATGCTTTTATTGTTTTCCAGGAGGCTGTGCATTACAGAGGCATAACTCTCAACCGCGTGTTTGGAAAGAGCAGCTTCGAACATGGAAGCACCACGCATCTTTAGGGGAAATGGAATTCGAAGAGGGCATTTCAAAGGCTGATAATGCCATGGTTACCCAAGGAGCATTGGGTAACCCAAGGTATGTTCTTCCCTCGGATCCCATCTTTTAATTAGGTTGCGTGTTTGCTTTTCTTGTATGTAATCCAGGAAAGCTCCAGTGTGGTAGGAACCCAACAGACCCCAGGGCCAAGTGCGCAGCAAGGAGCGTTCTCTGTGCTGTTGCGCGCCTTGGTCTCATTTTCATGTGCGTGGTGACTCCCCAGAAGCACACACACCTGTCCCTGGGGGACTTAAATCATCCAGGAGCTTATAACATTTGAGGTGTTAGACACCGTTGTGATTCCAAGAACACGGGAGAGCGAGAATGATGAATAAGCACCACGTGGGAGAAGGAAGGGCTTCAAAGGTCAAGTTCCTGAAATGGCTCTCGCCGCCCGTGCCAGCTCCGCACCTCCTTCCTCGGGGGATGGTTGTGCGGGAGACAGATCTGAGCCCTGCTTCCGGCTGGAGAAGCCATCAGCCTCCTGCCCAGACAACTGCAGCTTCTCACGTGGCTTCTTTCTTATCTCCCCGGAAAAGAAGGAGGCGCATTCTTTTGCCCAGGAGCAGCTCCTGAAACCCCGCTGAGGGTCTGCACCTCCTCCTCCTGCGCCAGGCTGCGGGGAGGGGCTTGTACTCCCCTCTTCTCCAGATCCGCCGAAGTTCCAGAATGGGTTCCTTGTGTCCTTGGGGGGCAATCTGCATCTTGAACGTGAAACCCCGAAGGGGCAGCACAAAAAGGCAAGTCGGCTTTTCCTCTGCCTCCAACACGCGAGTCCTCCACCACCCACCCACCCACCAACTAACTCCCCACGCACGAAGTGACTCCTTCTGGGTGTCCGGGGTTCCTTCCTCTTTTAGGGACTTCGCCCCACCTTAGTTCAATTTTCTTAAGCTATATTCATCTCTCATTTTTAAATTTATGATAAAATTAATAAGGTTCTCCCTCCTTCCCTCTTCTCTCGATTGTAGTATCCCTCCATTAAGAGGGGAACATAAGGAATGTTCTCGTCCGAGACCCCTTTACCCCCCAAAATTCCAGAGCTTTCAGAACAGGAACTTTGAGAACAGTGAGGGAGATAGATATCCCAGGAATCCAAAAAGCGGCACTTTTTGCCCCCAGCTGGTGTTTACGCTCCTGCCCCTGCCCGGACCAGCCAGCCCAGGTAGGAATCCCGCGCTCACCTCTACCTTGTGGTTCCCGGAACCTCGCGCCAGGTGTTCTCACCTCTTCCCACGTCCCACAAGACTGGGCAGCTCTCAGCTCAGGTGCTGCCCCTCCTGTCCTGTCCCCTCCTGTTCACACCCCAGGTCCTCCACGACCATGCAGGAGTCCTTCTTACCTCCTCGTCTAGTCACTAGAGAAGTTCCACCCCACCCCACCCCCCACCCCCCGCGCCGGGGGTCTACCCTGTTTTTGCCCTTGTCAGGCAGAGAGCATCTTTCAAGAAAACAAAACAAAACTATGAAATCGTCTCGTAAACTTTGCGGTCATGAACGCTCCCGCGCCAGCAGCTGCGAGCACACACCTGCCCGCACCCGGGCGCAGGTGCACCTGTCCTGGCGCACACAGGGCCAGGGAAGCCAGTGCACGAGAAACCCGCTCAGGGCGCACTCAAGTCGCTGGCAGTCGGCAGCAGGGACGCGCGGTGCTGCTTGGGCATCAAGAGAATTTCGAAATGGGCTTGCGAAGCGGGAACCAGAAAATGGTGATCCTAAACACACGCACTGGTGGGTCTGTCTACCCCCTGCACACTTTTGAGAACAGACCATGGTGGGTCACACTGTGTACGAACCGTCCTCAGAGGACATTCATCGCGGATCTGACAGCCCCTGTCGTCTACCTCACTTCTCTGTCTGGGTCCAAACCAGCCTGGCGCACAGGGAGATGGGGACCCGAAAGCTCCCGGAGCCCTCAGCCCCGCGTGCAGAGCCCCCGAGGCAGGTGCGGCCCGGGACGCCCAGCAACAAGCACGCTTCTGCGGGCGCTGCCTGAGTCCCCGCGCCAGTCTCTGCTCCCCGCCCCCCAGCTCCGCTGGCCCGAGCCAGGCGGGCGCTGGGGAAGGAGAAAGCCGAGCAAGCCACTCACCCCCAGCTTCCTGCTGCGGATTTTCACGTAGCCCTGCTTGACTATGTCGTTAAAGTTGGAGGCCATGCCAGCGCACTCGGCTTCCGAGAGTCCAGAGCCACCGTCCGCCGCCGGGTCCGCGCCGGTCCTGCATCCAGCCAGCAGCCGCCAGGAGCGCGCCACTGCCTAGTGCCCCCGAGCTCCCGCCGGCGAGGACAGGGGGTGGGTGGCAGGGCGGCAGCGGACAGGGACACGGCCTGGCACAGCAAGCTGCGCCCGCCCTCTGAGTGCGGGTCCCCACCTTCGCCCCCGCCACCCCTGCAGCTTCCACGGGCTGGCCCCTCACTCCGTGGCGCACAGCCGGCTGCAGCACACCGTCTCCGATCCCGGCGCTGGGGGTGGGGAGGGAGGGAAGGGGCGGGGGGCGGGCCGATTTGCCGGTACGGCTCCCTCCCCCGCTCCCCACGGCCGGCCGGCGGGGTGGCTGGGCTGGGAGACGCTCGCCAGAGGCGCTTCATCACCGCCTCCCCTTCCAGTGCCCCGCCGCTCCCACCCAGCTCCCCAGTCCACAGCGCTCCCAGTGCCGGATTCCTGAGGACCGGCTCCTCATTCTGGGGCTCTTGATCTCCACTCCTAAGTGGATCCCAGGAAAGGGTAGGAGGCTGGGATGCTTCAAAGGAGAGAGGCAGTCGGGAGGGAGACAGTTATGTACTGCAAGGGCCGTGTTTACAGTGCATTTTTATTCCTGGCTACGGGCTCGCCCTCCAGGTCTTTGCCCCGTTAGGAAGTGTGGATCGACGCCAAGCCCTTCCCGGTGCACACAAAGAGACCAATCGTGCGCATGTGTCTAATCCCTTTGCTGCTGGCGACACTGAGCACTCGGGCGAGGCAGCCTGTCGCGTACATCCTTCCCAACAAGCAGCCAGGGCCAGAGTGAATGGATTTATGCACGTGTTTTGGTTAACTACCACCGAAAGTGGCTAGTGGCTTTTCATTTTCTAGGGGAAATGGGCACAGTAGCTGTTACCCATGGGTGCAAATGATTTCTTGAGATGATCAACTTGTAAAAACACAACAATGAAGAACTTTCTCCTCTTAATGTGGGAACGCATGGCATTTTAAAATAGGCTATTCTCTATTATAGAGAAATTGTCATTTAAAATTATATCATTTTTATAAGATTCAAGGAAAAATAGGAAGTATTGTATTTTGGTTGTATACAATGTATGGATTTTTGCTATAGGAATGTAAAATGTAAGAATTATTACTAAATAATAATAGGAATCTTTAGTACCTCAGGATGGTTTTAATTAAGAAAATATGTACAAAGGTTAACAATTTTATGGCTCCTTTACAAAATCTGTTTAATAAAAGGTCCAAATATTGTATTTATTTCTGCTCATTTATAGGGAGCAATATTTTTCCATGTTTTCAGTTAAAATTTCTTTGCCTTATTGGGAACATAATAATATTAAGAGAGGAAAAAAATAAGTTAATTGAGAAGTTAAGTTAATTAAAAAAACCAATATGAAAGCTCAAATAACATGGTAGTGTGCCCATTAACCCAACCACAGAGGTTTTTGTCCCATCATTAAGTCTCCAAATACTCAATAGGAACTCTAACTTGCCTTACCAGCATGCTATTCCTATTCATTCTTTCTGTAGCAAACAATGGTTTGGTCTGTCAAGCATGCAGAGCCCTGGAGGCTGGGGCAGAAACCTAGAATCACGTGGCAAGATCCCTTAGGCTGACCTTTCCACAAAACTTGCATGCAGTCCCCTTAACCTTATATGATTCCCTCTGCCAAATCCCCGGGTATGTTGACCATTCCATTCATTTGTTGCTCTTACATATACTACATGTCTATTATTTCTTTTCTTTACACAAAGATGTTGAGTTTTGCAGGTATGTACTTTAAATACATTACTTCATTCAGTCTTCCTTTGCAACCCCATGTGTTAACCAAAAATTACTTGCCATTTAATAGATGTGTAAACAAGCTCGGAGACCTCTAATTGCAGAGCCTAATTTCAAGATTGGTTTTGAGTCTGCAGTGATTCTACTTCCACCATTATTTATATAATAATCTGTTTCCACAGGTCAATTGTAAAATATTTGAAGTGAGGGATTAACTTCATTGCAACAACAATGTTAGTGCTTACTAGAGAGGTGTGGTTTGCAAGTCTGGTTGTTAGTAATGCATAATGGTTACACCTTTGTGCAGGTGCTTACTTAAGTCTCTTAACACCCTAATATGATTTAAGTATTCTGCTGCACTTACATATGATGCTGAAATTTCTGATATAGCAATATGTGTGTGTGTGTGTGTGTGTGTGTGTGTGTGTGTGTGTGTTTATAATAAGTACCCTCTCCCTCTTAAACTGTTTGGGTTTTTTTTGCGGATTTAAAACACTAGGTACTTGTAATATAAGTTTACCCAGTTCCAAAGTCAAATCCAGTTCTGGATTTGATTGATTATATCTTCATTACACCATTTACTGTATTACCTAAGCTTCCAACTTTTTGCTAACTAGAAATGTGACTTAGAAATTTAAGTACATTCTTTTTTCCAAGACATTCATTTAAAAAGAGCATTTGAAAAATCAAGCTCCCATTTATGACAAACTATCAGAAAATTGGGAGTGGAGAGAATGTGGATCAACATAATAAAGGCCATATATGACAAGGCCACAGCTAACATCATATTCCACAATGAAAAGCTAAAAGCATTTTCCTTAAGATCAGGAACAAGATAAGAATGTCTACTTTCACCACTGTTATTCAATGTAGTTCCAAAAGTCCTAGCAATAGCTATCAAGCAAGAAAAAGAAATAAAGGGCATCCAGTTGGAAAAGAAGAAATAAAACTGTCATTATTTACAGATGACATGATGTTCTATACAGAGAACCCTGAAGAGTTCACTGGAAACTATTAAACCTGATTAATTAATTCAGCAAAGTAACAGGTTATAAAGTTAATATTCAGAAATTGGTTGTATTTTTATACAGCAATAACAAACTCTCAGAAAATTTAAGAACGCTACCCCATTTACAACTGCATCAAAAAATAAAATACCTAGCAATACATTTAACCAAGAAAGTACAATACCCAGAAAATTATAAAACACTGAAGAAAATGATTGAAGAAGGTAGAAATAAATGGAAACACCATGTTCATGGACAGGAAGAATTAACTTTGTTAAAATATCCATACTACCATAAACAATCTATACATTCAATGCATTCTCTATTGAAAAACCAGTGGAGTTTTGCATAATACATCACAGTCATCATTTCTGGTGTTTGAATTGCCCCATCACTGACCAGAAGGAGCAGCTTAGTGACACTTATTATTTGTTTGTTTTTATCAGGTACCCATGGACCTCAGTAGTTTTGTGGTGATCAGTCACAAGATACCCCAGGCTCATCTTGTACATTTTGAAGCCCAGATCTGGAATACATTATTTATCCTAGGGATCTTTGTTTTAATGGGAATTGAAAGTCAGTTCTCATGATCTGGTTACTAAGGCAATTTTTTTTTTTAGTTTTGTTTTTTTGTTGTCATTGTTGAGCTACTGGTTCATATCTTTCCAGTTGCAGAGAAATGAAATGCTCTTATTTTAGACATATATTTTAAAGAGAAAAATTATCAGTTTTTATGGAAATTTCTAACCCCAATTAATATTGACAGATTCCATATTTAAGCATTGCTTCTTTTCTTTTGAGATTTTCATTATGTAAAGAATGTATGAGTTTCCAAAGTCAAATCTTCCAAACAAAGCACATTGAGAGATATAGCTCCATTTTCTGTCCCTTTCTCTCTGATTTCTGCCTTTCTTTTTAGGAAAAATATTTTTATTAGTTTTGGGTTTATCCTTTTCTGGACAGACCATTTCACACACATACACACAGACACACGTGAGGTCTGTTAAAATAATGAGAATGGTTGCATGACACTGATGTAACCTTGCAGCCAAGGAGAGTGGACTGGAATGCACATGAGTGAACAATGATGACTTCACTGTACTAGTCAGTGGGGGTGGTAGACACTGTTGAGTGAGCATGTGTACTGTGTGGCAGTTACATTCAAAATGACTGAGTCAGTAAAGCAACAAATCTGCATCAAATTTTATGTTAAGTATGAACATCCCTCTGTGGAAACTATTTGAATGATTCAGAAGATTTTTGGTGATGATACAATGAGTACTTCTATTGTGCAAATAGAAGTGAGGCACAAACACTTCAACAATGATTGAGAATGTGTCGAAAGTGACCCATGTTCTGGAAGGCCTGCAACAAACAGAACACCTGAGAATATTGAACATATATAAGCTGCAATCAACAAAGACCGGTGACCCTGGTGACTCGGCCCTGCTATAGCCCAGATGTGGCGCCCTGTGATGTCTGGCTTTTCCTATAACTAAAATCACCTTTGAAAAGGAAGAGATTTCAGATCATTGGTGACTTTAGGGAAAATATGATCAGGCAGCTGATGACAAGTCCAACAAAGACTTTTGCAGTGTTTTGACCAGTGGAAGAGATGCAGGGAGAACTGTTTGAGGTCCCATGTTACCTACTCTGAAGGGGATGGAGGCATCATTGTCCTATGTACAGTGTTTCTTGTACCTTGTTCTTTAGTAAATGTCTCCGTTTTTCATATTATATGTCTAGGCTGGATACTTTCTGGACATACTATTTAATATACATATACACACATACATATATATATATAATTGAATAGATAAGGTGTATTACTAATTGCAAGGCATATTACTATTAATAGAGAAAGTACTACTAATTGCAGTCAAAATGTTTTTTCTAGTTGATTCACAATTATTGTGTGCTCAAGTATTTTAATATTGTATACACAGTATTTAACATTAGTATAATAAATAAAACATTGAATATTGCATTATGCAACTACCTTATACTTTAAATGACCATTTATCTGGCATAGAAACAACTTGAAAGTGAGTGAAGACTCTGGGATTTGAAGTCATGTGCTGTTGTGTAAGGCTGTATTGCTGGAATCTACATGCTCTGTGAACTGGGAAAGATTGGACAATCATTTATTTTATGTTTTTTAAATTTTATTAATTTATTTGTAGAGAGAGGGAGGGAGGGAGAAAGAGAGGGAGAGAAACATCAATGTGCGGTTGCCTCTCACATGACCCCTGCTGGGGACCTGCAACCCAGACATGTGCCCTGACTGGGAATTGAACTGGTGATCCCTTGGTTCAGAGCTGGCACTCAATCCACTGAGCTATGCTAGCCAGGGCATCATATTTTTTGATATTAAGTTTATTTGGTAGAACTACAGTGGGTGTCCAATACAAACACAATGTTTCAGATGATGGGTATGATCATCAAATGGCAG